GGACCTTCCGCCCACTGACCGCGCTCTGGTGCCTTCGCGCCATCCTCCCTTGCCTGCCCAGCCCGCCGGGCTCCTCGGCGCTCCGGGTTAACGTTGGAGTAAGGACCGAAAGGGGGAGTAGGTACTCACTCATCTTTCCAGGAAGCGCTAAATAGACGTGAGTGGCTGATTCTTTTTTATTTATTTATTTATTTTTTTATTCTGTGATGTGAGAGGCCTCTTTGGGTGAGGAACTTGACAGTGAAGGGAAGCCCGGCAAAGAGTCTTTTTCGTGTAGTTGCCTGGGCTTGGGCACCGAATGTTCATATTAGAGACGTTGCCCGATCTCCAGGAGTTGTCACTCATTTGCACTCTTTGCAGGGCTTTTTACGACCTTTGTTAAACATGAATTGTGTCATCATTATACTTACTCTCTTTTTTTCCCCGCATGCTTGGTAAATTTTTTCTCTTGGGATTGAGAAACTCAGTAATTGTTAGCCTGTGTTGTTTAGTTCCCTTGATTTTCAGCCATCACATTGATTCTTTTCCTTACAACCTTACAACTTTTTTTTTTAAAGAAAATTTTACTTCGGAAGAAAGGGAAACATCTGGATTAGAAGGAGTAGTGTTGGGCGAGTGGATATTAAACTACAAAGAACAGGGAAGACAGGTAGGAAGGAAGGGAGAAAGAAGGACAATACTGTGTGTCTGTGTAAAGAATAGTGAGATGTAAATATAAGGAGTCAGGGAGATGCTCTAATTGTGCCTGGAACTGAGGGTTTATCTGCTATGTAGGTGGGCTTCAGGTAGCAGCCAAACACCCTTGCTCCCTTGGGGATTTTTTCAAATCCTCACTCCTCCCTGTGGTTAGCTCTGGAATAACAGTGTAAACTTTTTTTCCCCCCGCCTCAGACTCAAATTTTATACCCACAGCCAACTTCGATAACAATTTTATCACCAGGTACAAAATTTCAAGAAAGGTGAGGATCCTATAGTTCATCTCATTTACCTTGGCTCCCACATTTTACAGTTAGAAAATTTAAAGTTGAGAAAGATTGGGGATACTTGTGCCTTGGTGGAAATCTAGGATCAAACTGTTCAATATGTTATTATCTTTGTCCAACTTTTAATGGCATTCACATTTCCCAGCAATGCATGGTAAATGCAATTGAGTTATAAACATCTGGATATAGCTCCAGAAGGAAAGCTTTAATTTAAGGCTGGCTGGTGATTGGGTTTGTTAGGAGATCTGTAGTTTCCTTTTTTAAAAAATAGGGTGCAAGGGTTTGAACCCAGGACCCTGCACTGAGCTACATCACTATCCCAACCTCCACCCCACTCCCTTTTAAAAATTTTGAGGCAGGGTCTCCATAAATTGCCCAGGCTGGCCTCAAACTGTGGTCCTCTTGCCTCAGACCCTGAGCAGCTGGGATTACAGGTGGCTACAACTGTTCCATTTCTATAGAATTTTCTGTTACAGTGACATTTA